GGGGGTGATTGAGAGTTCTGTAATGATGGCAAACAAATCTTACCGGGTTCGGTCGAACATTTCACAATTTTAGACCAATTCTCGGCAGCAGAATCAGCCACATATTTGTCTAAATCAGAATCTACTGGCGAATCGTAAATCAAACATTTCTTGGATCTACCGTTGTAGTAGAGAGATTGACAGGGTTTCTTGCATTCACTAGCACAACCTATCTGAAATATGGCAGTTGTCGACACGATTGGTGTCTTCTCAGCATTAAATTTGCCATCTAAAGTTACATTCTTCTTGATTATAGTTTTACATCCGCCGAGAACAGATGGACTGTATGCCAGGAGAAATAAAATACACATTCCTGAGTATCCTGTAAATAGATTATCAAAATTCACATGATGACAAAACTGAGCAGGTAAATATCAGAAGAATTTATTCTTCCTAAATAATGATGTTAACACAACCTAGGCATTGCTGTTAAGACACAAAGTAAAATGATATTGATAACGCGTATTTACATTGTACAATAATTGATGATCGCAATGTAAATTGTTGAAACGTTGTGTACAATAAAACCCAGGAGATAGTATACCATTTAAACTGATGATGACAATGTAATTGGTGAAACGGTGTGACTGTTGATGATAAAACACAAGAGAAGCAGTAGCGGAAAATGAAAATGGGGATCACTTTTCTAATATAGACCCTTGGCGTATAAGGTTTATGCTGCCAATGCATTGACAGGGATAAATGTTTGTAAGACAACAATGCATAAACCTTAACGATTCCATAAAGATCTGTATATTTCATGCCAATTCGCATCGATGTATGGACGACAATAATCGCTGGTCAAATGACCATTTCTAAATAAATATAATTACCTACCGGAAGATAAAAACTGCATGTTTTCAAGATCAGTAAAACTTCATGCGTCAAATATTTAACATGCACAGAAAAATCAGAACATGAGAAAAGTTTTGAAATCGTTCGAGCCAATTTGCAGAATCGATATGTGCAGTAGACATTAAAATTGGTTTACTTCAAAATTAAATAATGAATTGATTTGGCTACTGTAACAATGTAACGATACCAGTCGTTTGTTCAATTCCACCATAATATAGTTGGGAAAATATTTGATCTCGCTTCAATTTGTTACCAGTTCGGGCACACTACGCAGAAATAATGAAATCAAATGGAGGTTAGCTTATCCGACGTTCCCTTTCTGAAATAATGAAATCATATGGAGTTTAGCTTACCTGACCTTACCTTTCTGAAATAATGAAATCAAATGGAGTTTATCTTACCTGACATTTCCTTTCGAAAATAATGATATCAAATGGAGTTTATCTTACCCTGACCTTACCTTTCTGAAAGAATGAAATCAAATGGAGTTTATCTTACCTGACGTTCCCTTTCTGAAATAATGAAATCATATGGAGTTTATCTTACCTGACCTTACCGTTCTGAAATAATGAAATCAAATGGAGTTTATCTTACCTGACCTTACCTTTCTGAAATAATGAAATGAAATGGAGTTTAGCTTACCTGACCCTCCCTTTCTGAAATAATGAAATCATATGGAGTTTATCTTACCTGACCTTACCTTTCTGAAATAATGAAATCAAATGGAGTTTACTTACCCGACGTTCCCTTTCTGAAATAATGAAATCAAATGGAGTTTAGCTTACCTGACGTTCCCTTTCTGAAATAATGAAATCAAATGGAGTTTAGCTTACCTGGCCTTACCTTTCTGAAATAATGAAATCAAATAGACTTTATCTTACCCGACCTTACCTTTCTGAAATAATGAAATCATATGGAGTTTATCTTACCTGACATTTCCTTTCTGAAATATTGAAATCATATGGAGTTTATCTTACCTGACGTTCCCTTTCTGAAATAATGAAATCATATGGAGTTTATCTTACCTGACAATAGTATTAATTATCCGACACATTTTAATGAGATATTCTTCTTACAAAATTATTATGTCATTATGTTAGTATCATCTGTCTAACATTCAAGACTAGACTCGGCCAAGAATAATATTGTTCTGTATATTTTCATGGAGGCCTTCAACTCCAGCCTTTGTGCATGATGATATGTTATCTTGTTTTAAACGCACAAGGTTTATGTAAATTAGATGAACCACTGTGACAGCTTCATTCTACCCACCGCATTTCATAATATTTAACTGTTCACAAAATCTTTCATTAGAATGTAATCCGACTGATAAGAATCAATTTGCATATCGAGTAACATAGATGAACTTAGTTCTTCCCTAGATCATATTCACTCTGTCCCCACACTCTAGCTGTTATTCTTTATGTTTCTTTATAAAAGATTGGAAAACTTTTTTTCTTTACTGTCCCTATTTGTTTTTGTAAGAGAATTTTGTTACGTTGAATATAAACTGTTGTTTATTCTGAATATCGTATTATATTTATTTAGCATCAGATATATGTTCCTTCAAAGTCTATTGACTAATATCAAATGTAAAACAGATTTGCAAGTTTGATAATGCCCTCCTTTTAACAACAAGGCCTGGGAAACGAGTTGAAAACCACTTTTTGTTGAATTATGAGACGTTTTCAACAATCTGGAGTCAATATGTGTTAATATAAATGATATGTGTACAGCAAATAGTCTGAACCATTTTTAATGTCCTATTTTAAACACTTGATCTTATATAGTTGAAGTTTCAAGTAGTGTCCCGAAGGAACACCCCTTAACAAGAGATAGAATTTGTCTGCTAACTAATTGGTT